AAATTAAGAAAACTGAGTCCATTGTTATGTGCACATTGTATGGCGCATCCTTTTGGTAATATCAGATTTTGAACCAGCGGCTGCCAGGCAGTATACGCCCACATTTTCAAGAGATGGATAGAAAACAAGCTAAACGAAAGTGATTTTTCCTACAATCAAGGGCCATAATTCAGGAAATTACAATTCGATATGCGCAAATATCGAAAGGAACCAAGATCTTTGAGTTATAAACTTACATTTCAAGTTTCATCAAAATCGGATAAAAATTGTGACCTCTATAGGGTCCACAACCTTGATATACCATATTTTTACGCTATTTGAGAACAAGGGGCGGCCATTTTGAAACGGTTTTTAAAATCGGATAAAAATTGTGACCTCAAAAGGAACTTCAAGCTAAAAACGTGATTTTTCTTAAAATCGGGGGTCATATTCCACAAAGTTACGGTCCGATATGCGCGAATATCGACAGGGACTGAGATCTTTGGGATCTAAACATAATTATTTTAAGTCTCATGAAGATCAGATATAAATTGTGACCTCGAGGGTGTCCACAACCTTGGAATTACATACTTTTACACTATTTGCGTAGGAGGAGTGGTCATTTTGTCGGGCAGTTTCGACATGATTTTCCCGAAATTCGAACTCCACCATCATTAGCGTGTAACGGTGATATATTAAAATGTTTTTAAAAATCAAATAAAAATTGTGACCTCTTGAGGGGCTACAAGCTAAAAACATGACTTTTTGTACAATCATAGGCCATAATCCAGGAAGTTAAGATCCAATATGGAAGAATATCGAAAGGGACCGAGTTCCTTGGGTTATAAACATACCTTTTAAGTTTCATCAAAATCGGATAAAAATTGTAACCTCCAGTGTCCACAAGCTAAAAATGTGATTTTTCGTAAATTCATTGTACATAGTCCATGAAGCTACGGTCCGATACATGCCAATATCGACAGAATCCAAATTCTTAGGGACATAAACCTATATTTCAAGTTTTGTTGAAAATGGATAAAAATTGTCACCTGTAGAGTGCCCATAAACAAATTGTTGACGGACGGGCAGACAGGGGCGACGAGAATATAAGTCCATACGAGGATGTGGGCGTACAAAAATAGCGAGGTGTTCCTATTTTTATTACGTGCGGATTTGAAAATTTTTTTGACACGTGATTTTTAATTGTGGTATGAATCCGTCTGCTTAAATAACGATAAATGTCCGACAAGAAAATTTTTGAAATCCCAACTCTAACTCATTTGTTTTTCAATATTTTCGAATGAGATATGGTTTGTCGATAGACCAACGGGTGAAATTTGAATTGTATCCCTGATTACCTGGCAATTGAAGGTCAAGGTGAAGGCTAAAGCGGCGATTTTCATGGAAATTGGGTCTGTTTTGCATAATTGTCGACTTTCATCTGCTCTAACTCGACTGTTTTTCAAAATTTTGAATTGAAATTTCTCATTTTTCATAGAAAAAAAAATGTTTAAATAATCAGGATCGATATTTTAGATCAAGAATTTGCAAAATCCATATTCACTGGGAGACGCCATCTTGGATTTGTAGACTGGATACCGTGACTGAATATTTTGGCAAAGATGGTTGAAGGGGAGTCGGAGTTGATATATTGACCCTTTGAATAACAATATTGGCGATTGGGTACCTGAATAATCCGCCGATGTATTCCAATCAAAAGTTTTTGGTAACTTTCAACACGAACTTTCATACTTTTGCAAGTTAGCTGACAACGATTTTATTTCTTATGTTGTTAGAACTGGTCAAGCTGCAAATAAATTGATTTTAATTTTTATTGCAAACTCTGCTTCAGTGGAGTTATCACGATCTGAAGATAGGGTACATTTCAGGTATCTCCAGACATGTATTTTGTGTAGTCTCCTGACACCTATGGAAAATGAACTACAACTGGGTGACCATGATAATGTGATACGGTAAGACCCTGACTATCATGAAGAACCAAAACTTAGTTCACCAGGGTCATGCAACAGCGGTAGTAGTGCGACAAAAATAGCTAAAACTTGGCCTAAAAATGACAAAATACAGTTGATTTCTGAAATCAGCGATTTTAGCTGGGGAGTAGGCTTGATGGGTCGACCAAACCCTGTGAGTATGAACTCAATCGGCCGACCCCCCACCTTCGAACATCTGCCCGATATTGCATGGTTTTCTCGTGGAATGGCTCTTTATACTTTGAAAAGCCGCCAATTGCATTGTTTACACAGGACTATGTCGTACAGTTATTCACAAAGTTTTAAGTCAATTCAAAGCCAATTTCATTGGCCCTGGATGTTAAACCCATTATATTTAATTTATTTCACAAATGTATGCTTGTTTTCATTTGTTTGAAACTAGTTTACAGCAGTATGAACACTTTTAATAAATTAGACATGTATCCTCAAAATGGCACCACGGTAATGTGACACGATTGAAAATTTAAAGATTAAAAGAATTCAGAACAATGTCCAACCAGCAGCTGCCAGGCAGGATATGCCCACATTTTACAAGAGATGGAAAAAGAACAAGCTAAACAAAACGCGATTTTTCGTACAATCAGGAGTTACGATCCAATATGCGCAAATATCGAAAGGAACCAAGAGGTGACAATTTTCTTCTGATTTTGATGAAACTTGAAATGTAAGTTTATAACCCAAAGATCTTGGTTCCTTTCGATATTTGCGCATATTGTATCGTAACTCCTGATTGCACGAAAAATCGCGTTTTGTTTAGCTTGTTCTCTATCCAACTCTTGTAAAATGTGGGCATATCCTGCCTGGCAGCCGCTGGTTGGACATTGTTCTGAATTCTTTTAATCTTTAAATTTTCAATCGTGTCACATTACCGTGGTGCCATTTTGAGGATACATGTCTAATTTATTAAAAGTGTTCATACTGCTGTATACTAGTTTCAAACAAATGAAAACAAGCATACATTTGTGAAATAAATTAAATATAATGGATTTTACATCCAGGGCCAATGAAATTGGCTTTGAATTGACTTAAAACTTTGTGAATAACTGTACGACATAGTCCTGTGTAAACAATGCAATTGGCGGCTTTTCAAAGTATAAAGAGCCATTCCACGAGAAAACCATGCAATATCAGGCAGATGTTCGAAGGTGGGGGGTCGGCCGATTGAGTTCATACTCACAGGGTTTGGTCGACCCATCGAGCCTACTCCCCAGCTAAAATCGCCGATTTCAGAAATCAACCGTATTTTGTCATTTTTAGTCCAAGTTTTAGCTATTTTTGTTGCACTACTACCGCTGTTGCATGACCCTGGTGAACTAAGTTTTGGTTGTTCATGATAGTCAGGGTCTTACCGTATCACATTATCATGGTCACCCAGTTGAAGTTCATTTTCCATAGGTGTCAGGAGACTACACAAAATACATGTCTGGAGATACCTGAAATGTACCCTATCTTCAGATCGTGATAACTCCACTGGAGCAGGGTTTGCAATAAAAATTAAAATCAATTTATTTGCAGCTTGACCACTTCTAACAACATAAGAAATAAAATCGTTGTCAGCTAACTTGCAAAAGTATGAAAATTTGTGTTGAAAGTTACCAAATCGCCAATATTGTTATTCAATATAACAATCGCCAATATTGTTATTCAAAGGGTCAATATATCAACTCCGACTCCCCTTCAACCATCTTTGCCAAAATATTCAGTCACGGTATCCAGTCTACAAATCCAAGATGGTGTCTCCCAGTGAATATGGATTGTTGCAAATTCTTGATCTAAAATATCGATCCTGATTATTTAAACATTCTTTTTTCTATGAAAAATGAGAAATTTCAATTCAAAATTTTGAAAAACAGTCGAGTTAGAGCCAATTATGCAAAACAGACCCAATTTCCATGAAAATCGCCGCTTTAGCCTTCACCGTGACCTTCAATCGCCAGGTAATCAGGGATACAATTCAAATTTCACCCGTTGGTCTATCGACAAACCATATCTCATTCGAAAATATTGAAAAACAAATGAGTTAGAGTTGGGATTTCAAAAATTTTCTTGTCGGACATTTATCGTTATTTAAGCAGACGGATTCATACCACAATTAAAAATCACGTGTCAACAAAATATTCAAATCTGCACGTAATAAAAATAGGAACACCTCGCTATTTTTGTACGCCCACATTCTCGTATGGACTTATATTCTCGTCGCCCCTGTCTGCCCGTCCGTCAACAATTTGTTTATGGGCACTCTACAGGTGACAATTTTTATCCATTTTCAACAAAACTTGAAATATAGGTTTATGTCCCTAAGAATTTGGATTCTGTCGATATTGGCAAGTATCGAACCGTAGCTTCATGGACTATGTACAATGAATTTACGAAAAATCACGTTTTTAGCTTGTGGACACTGGAGGTTACAATTTTTATCCGATTTTGATGAAACTTAAAAGGTATGTTTATAACCCAAGGAACTCGGTTCCTTTCGATATTCTTCCATATTGGATCTTAACTTCCTGGATTATGGCCTATGATTGTACAAAAAGTCATGTTTTTAGCTTGTAGCCCCTCAAGAGGTCACAATTTTTATTTGATTTTTAAGCAACCGCTTATTTGGTATATAAATATTATTCTAGAGCATATCTCAGAAACTGTTCAAGATACCTTTATAACACTTTTACATTTATCAACCTATTATTTTATTTTTTTTGATGACCTTCCTTCTGTCCCGATTTCATTTCTAGAGCATATTTCATTATCTGTTCAGAGAAATCTTTTTAAAACTGTATACAAACATCAAACTATTAAAGTATTTTATTTTCTGATGTATAAACTTAATGTTTAACATAAAGCAGCTGATTGAGGTAGGCAAAGGTTGTTGTGCAAACCTTACAGGGAGTAGCGACTGTGCCTTGCCGAGTTACTATGATCAGAGTATGAATCTTCTGGTTAACTCTTCAAATGAGAAGTTGTATCAGGTGTTCTAGAAATGATTTATATTAATGATGTGTTCTTTTGTAGGGTACAGAAGAAACTGTACGGGTTGTTTCTATGGATAAAGACTTCCATGTAGACTGTTATCAATGTGAGGTAAGTGCAATCTGTAGTTTTAGTAGGCTTTCACAATCGGTAAAAGACTATTGTTATTACTAAGATTATTATTAGGCTTTCAGACTTTGTCTGCAAGCCTATTGTGATTACTAAAATTATTAGGCTTTCAGACTTATGTTTTAATACGCCCACATTTTCATGTGGACGTATATTGTCGTCGCCCCTGTCCGTTCACCCATCTGGCGTCTGTCTATCCACAATTGTTTGTGGAACACTCTGAAGGTCACAATTTTTATCTGATTTCAATCTAAGATCTCGGTTCCTTTCGATATTGAACTCGTGGGTTTTCTCCGGGTCCTCCGGTTTCCTCCCACCGCTAAAGACCCCTATGCGCAAGCGAATTATTGAAATAAAATTTAACCATGTTAGTCCCGAAATGACCTAGTTTGTGTCGAGTGGACGTTAAACCCCATTTCTCTCTCTCTCTCTCTCTCTCTCTTAACAGTGTGAAACCCTAATTCTCTCTCTCTCTCCCTTTCGATATTGGCATGTATTGGACTGTAACATCATGGATTATGGCCCCTGATTGTACGAAAAATCACGTTTTTAGTTTGTGAACACTGTAGAGGGCACAATTTTTATCTGATTTGGTTTAAGTTTGAAATCTATGCTTATAACCCAAAGGTCCTCGGTTCCTTTCGATATTTACTCATATCGAAATTGTAATTTCCTGAATTATGGCCCTTGATTATAGGAAAAATCATGTTTTTAGCTTATGGACCCTATAGAGGTCATAATTTTTATCCGATTTAAAAAAACGTTTTAGTGTATCACCGTTACACCCTAAGGACGACTGATTTCGAATTTCGTGAAAATCGGCCCAAAACTGACATGCAAAATGGCCGCCCCTCATTCTCAAATAGCGTAAAAATATGGAAAATCAAGGTTGTGGACCCTATAGAGGTCACAATTTTAATCCTATTTTGATGAAAATTGAAATGTATTTTTATAACCCAAAGATCTCGGGTCTTTTCAATATTCGCGGATATCGGAATGTAACTTCCTGATTTATAGCCCCTGATTGTACGAAAAATCGTGTTTTTAGCTTGTGGACCCTATAGAGGTCATAATTTTTATCCGATTTAAAAAAACGTATTATTATATCACCATTACACCCTAAGGAAGACTGAGTTTAAATTTCGTGAAAATCGGCCCAAAACTGACAGACAAAATGGCCGCCCCTCGTTCTCAAATTGCGTAAAAATATGGTATATCAAGGTTGTGGACCCTATAGAGGTCCTAATTTTTATCCGATTTTGTTGAAACTTGAAATGTAAGTTTATAACTCAAAGATCTTGGTTCCTTTCGATATTTGCGCATATCGAATTGTAATTTCCTGAATTATGGCCCTTGATTGTAGGAAAAATCACTTTCGTTTTAGCTTGTTTTCTATCCATCTCTCGAAAATGTGGGCGTATCCTGCCTGGCAGCCGCTGGTCTTCTGATTTTGATGGAACTTGAAATATAAGCTTATAACCCAAAGATCTTAGTTCCTTTCGATTTTCGCACATATTGGACCGAAACTTCCTGAATTATGGCCCCTGATTGTACAGAATGTCGCGTTTTTAGCTTGTTGACCCTATAGAGGTTATAATTTTTATCCGATTTCAAAAACCGTTTGAATATATCACTGTTACACCCTAAGGATGGTTGAGTTAAAATTTCGTGAAAATCGCCTCAAAACTGACAGACAAAATCGTCGCCCCTCGTTCTCAGAAAGCGTAAAAAAAAAGGTATATGAATGTTGTGGACCCTGTAGAGTTCACAATTTTCTTCTGATTTTGATGAAACTTGAAATATAAGTTTATAACCCAAAGATCTTGGTTCCTTTCGATATTCACCATATTGGATTGTAACTTCCTGAATTATGGCCCCTGATTGTACGAAAAATCGTGTTTTGTTTAGCTTGTTCTCTAACCATCTCTTGCAAAATTTGGGCGTATCCTGTCTGGCAGCCTCTGGTTTGAATCGTTGGACTAGTGCAACCGAACTGTGACCGGTTAACCGAGTAGCCGTATACATCCTTAATTATTAGGTAATCAAGTCTACGATCTTTATTAAAAAAGATAAGTTGGCAGACAAAAAAACATAAGCCCAAATATTGAAGATTAAATCTTGTGCCTTGTCGAACTATGGACTAGTGGATATTAATGCCGGGCTATTGGTATCAGGGTTGTGGACCCTTTGGAGGTCACAATTTTCATCTGATTTTGATGTAACCTGAAATGCATGTTTATAACCCAGATATCTTGATTCCTTTCTATTTTCGTACATATCGAATCGTAACTTCCTGAATTATGGCCCCCTGATTGTACGAAAAATCGCATTTTTAGCTTGTGGTCCTTCTAGAGGTCACAATTATTATCTGATTTAAAACACTGTTGAATATATCACTGTTACACTGTAACTTTTTCAGAGTTTTTAATTCCATGAAAATCGGACCAATTCTGGCGGACAAAATGGCCGCCCCTCATACGCAAATAGTGTAAACATCTGGTATCACAAAGTTGTGGACCCTCTAGAGGCCACAATTTTTTTCCGATTTTGATGAAACTTGAAGTGCAATATATCACCATTACACCCAAAAATAGGTTGGGTGCAAATTTCGTGAAAATTGGGCCAAAACTGCCGTATAAAATGGCCGCCCCTCGTACGCAAATAATGTAAACATCTGATAAATCAGGGTACGAAATAAAACGCGAACGGTCGTTCAGGTTACATATCGGTTACCATAAGCCGGAAACACGCGAACAGACTTCGGTTCTCGACCACTGAGCTATAATTTATAAACTGAAGGTTTCAGTTAAAATATCCCCCCCACTCCTACGTTAAAAACATATTACAATTATAAATAAATACCTGAAAGATCCTTAAGTTCGCTCCTGTCATTTGGCTGTAGCAAATCAACTCGCAGACCCATCGTTCCTGGCAATGTCATTAGCGAACAAAACCTCCAGATTAATCAACTGATTTCTATTGTTTTTATACGCCCACATTGAAATGTAGTCGTATATTGTCGTCACCCCTGTCCTTCCGTCCGGCGTCCACAATTGCTTGTGGAAGCTCTAGAGGCTAAAGTTACTATCTGATTGACAGTGTTTAAGTGGTCTTGAGACGAAGAAGCCTATTGATTTTCAGCGATTTCCGATAATTACTGCCAGAGTTATGGCCCTTGATCACTTTGAAAAATCTTGTGGACACTGTAGAGGCCAAAGTAAATATCCGATTGACCTTAAATTTATACACAGTATTTAAGGTCATGAGACAAAGAAGCCTATTGATTTTCAGCGATTTCTGATAATTACTGCCAGAGTTATGGCCCTTGATCATGTCAAAAAATCTTGTGGACGCTCTAAAGGCCAAAGTTAATATTCGATTGACTTTAAATTTATACACAGTGTGTAAGGCCATGAAACAAAGAAGCCAGAGTTATGGCCCTTGATCTCTTCAAAAAATCTTGTGGACGCTCTAAGGGACAAAGTTGATATGCGATTGACTTTAAATTAATACACAGAGTTATGGCCCTTGATCATGTCAAAAAATCTTGTGGACGCTCTAAAGGCCAAAGTTAATATTCGATTGACTTTAAATTTATACACAGTGTGTAAGGCCATGAAACAAAGAAGCCAGAGTTATGGCCCTTGATCTCTTCAAAAAATCTTGTGGACGCTCTAAGGGCCAAAGTTGATATGCGATTGACTTTAAATTAATACACAGTGTTAAGGTCATGAGAAGAAGAAGCCTATTGATTTTCAGCGATTTCTGATAATTACTACCAAAGTTATCATCCGATTGACTTTAGATTGATACACAGAGTTTGAGGTCTTGAGACGAACAAGTATATTGATTTTCAATGAATTTTGATAACTTGAACAGCTAAATCCATGATATTAAATGTTTCGTATACTAAACGTTATTTTTCAATGAGCTTATAATCACGACCATAATTTCCAAGCTAAGCCGCCTGATTAAGGCCTCTAATAACCGTTATTTTCGGAATAACGATGGGCTATTCATTATCAAATGGTTCACTGCATATCTGACAAACAGGCGATACTGTATCCATTTGTGTCTCATTATTTGAACCATTTTGTGAATTATATTCGCCACCTGCTTTAATAGGCATGATCAGCTTCCGCAGTCGACATACCCCTACGCTGCTACCGCAGTGAGACATTCCAAATGAAATTTACTTGATACTGGATGAATGTCATCGTATTAGGTCTAAGGTAGGAGTATCATTGATCTCCAATCACTAATTGGAAATCTAAATCTCTAATTTGAATTTTTCCTATATTGACAGAGGGGAATCACTTAATCACTAAAATGTGTACAAAAATGGATACAGCTACCTCGAAAACGTATATTTTGACACCAAATTTGATCCTTACATAAAATTCGAATTTTCCAACCAAAACTGACCGCCATCTTGAATAATTCCCAATATTGACTCGGCGGCAACACCTATCACAAAAGTATGTATGGAAATGGATTCATTTACCCCGAAAATATATGTTTTGATACCAAACTTGATCATATTGGGTGGAAATTGGAATTTACAAGCCAAAACCAGCGGCCATTTTGGATTTTGGCTTCTAAAATATGTTCCCTTTGGCCAATTGATGGGGCTTTTTTTCTGCAACACTACTGGGTGTAATCTATCATTTAAAACCGAGAAAGCTTAGTTTGCACATTTCTGGCACAAACGTGAGATGCAGGCCTAATTCTGGCAGCCTATATCTATAACGTAACAAGGTAGAATTGATATGGATGATTCACAAAGAAAAATAATAATTTGCTCTTTATTGTAGGGTTGTGGTATGCAGTTAACAGATGAACCAGATAAACGATGTTATCCTCTTGATGAACATCTTTATTGTCACAGTTGTCATATACACAAGTTAAATCAACAGTTCCCTGGTGAACAATTCTATTTTGATCCTAAAACCTCTAATATACAGAGTAATCGACTAGATGACTCCGGCAATGTAACTATACACGCTTGTCTGCCAACAAGTTATGCTGCTTTTTCCATGCCAGGTTTTCCAACAATGAATAATCCAAATGGTAGTGTAAATAATTTACCTAATGATGATCATGATTATGAACAATATAATTCCCCTGACTATAGCCCCCCTCCTCAACCTTCCTACCCACCTCCCAAATTGTCTACTAAATATCATATAACCGAGTTGTAATTGTGTGTGTTATTTATTGATGATCATGTTGTGCTGTGCTATGAACATACTATCAATTGTGATAAGATTTATTTGTAACTGGAGATCCATACTGTGATCAGTTTCTCCCATAATAATAAGTAAATGGTTGCATGTATATTATATTTATTTGTGTACAACCATATAATTACAGTAACAGGAGTGATGTAACTATATGGTATTTATATTCTGTCTTCTATAAAATTATTGTTCTTCCATTAACTTATGACAGTCTGTTATAGTGTTTAGTGTAAACTTGTACAGTTCTAAACATATTTAAGGCAATTTCTACTTAACACAGATTTTTAGATAGGCATCAGTATTTATTCCCTAAAAATAAACTCATTGTACATGTTGTTTTATTTTATAGAAAATTCTCACATATCATCTATTTCTTATGTAATAATCTGTGTTAAATAAAAATTTTCTTAAAGATAGACCGGTGATGGGATTTCACCCGTATATTCTGGACATATCTGACGCTATTTTCCAAACCTAAAGAGCTAAATCTGCCTATTGCAGGCCCTTTTTTAGTCCTGAAATGTTATCTAAATTATTAATTAGACATTAATTAACTTAGCCTGACCATAATCAACTCTTGATGTCAACGCTAGCCTACGATATTTACTGGATTAAGCTTCCATTTGCTGCTCAACTTTCATTCATGATTTAATCATGAAATGGATAATCGAGACTATGTTTTTTATCGTACCAACTTAAGTAATGATGATTGAAACTAGGCCGAAAATTCAATCGCTAAAATCTTGGATCAGGGGGGATCAATTTGACTGAAATTTTCAGCAATATAAAGCTAATTATTAGTACTTTTTGCCGATGCATCAATAATACAAAAAAGGACCGAGAATCGAAGCGGCGTCAGCCGAATCGATGCATCGATACTTGATATCAGCACTACCCTTGATCACTTTAAAAAATCTTGTGGATGCTCTGTAAATAGATTATTATTATCAATTATCTACAAAAGAATAAATGTGCAATAACCCTTGTTGACCGCTCGGACTATTTAGTTGCTGTGGGCGTATGTTTTGTTGCCTGGCAACATATCTTTATAAGTTTTTAGGCCTCTGTCCGTCCACAATTTGTTTGGGGACACTCTACAGGTCACAATTTTTATTCGGTTTCGACGAAACTTAACATATAGGTCTATCTCCCAAAGCTCTCGGTTCCTTTCGATATTGGCATAAATCGGACCATAACTTCATGGATTATGGCACCTGATTGTGCAAAAAATCATGTTTTTAGCTTGTGGACACTCTACAGGTCACAATTTTCATCTCATCATTTTGATGAAACTTAAAATGCATGTTTATAACCAAAAGATCTTGGTTCCTTTTGATATTCTCTCATATCGGACCGTAACTTCCTGAATTATGGCCCTTGATTTTATGAAAAATCACATTTTTAGCTTGTGGTCCCTCCGAGGTAACAATTTTTATCCGATTTAAAAAAAAACGTTTGAATATATCACCGTTACACCCTTATGATAGCAGAGTTCGAATTTCATGAAAATCGGACGAAAACTGCCAGACAAATGGCAGCCCCTTGTTCGCAAATAGTGTAAATATATGGTATATCAAGGTTGTTGACCCTATAGAAGTCACACTTTTGATCCAATTTTTATTAAACTTGAAATACATGTTTATAACCCAAAGATCTCGGTTCCTGTCTATATTCGTGCATATCGGATCGTAACTTCCTGAATTATGGCCCTTGATTTTACGAAAAATCTCTTTTGTTTAGCTTGTTCTCTATCCATCTCTTGCAAACTGTGGGCGTATCTGCCTGGTAGCCGCTGGTTAATTATTTTAGTGAGAACTACCAGTTCTCTATCTAATCTCCCATAATGTATCTTTAAGTGATCAATATACTTATCGTGTTATACCGCCTAAACACCTATCAATCGAATCCTGAATAGAAGTCATTGTTTTTGCTTTGTCGGACTATGTATCAATCCAATAAGAGTGATTATAAACTTAATCTACGTGACTGACCCGTGATTTCTCTATTGTCGGGCATTTTAATCTCCTTGATGTCGGCCGACAACTGTAGGAATTAGTCATATATGTCACATATAGAAATCTCGCGAGACGTGTGAAATTATGAAATGAATACGTGACTAATGTTGGAGAAAAGATTCTATTTTGATGGCATATTCTCGGATTTATAATCATATTTTGAATGGGGTTTATGTTTTTATACGCCCACATTGAAATGTGGTCGTATTTTGTCGTCACCCCGTCCGTCTTTATAGTTAATATCCGATTGACTTAAAATTTATACACAGTGTTTAAGGTCATGAGACGAAGAAGCCTATTGATTTTCAACGATATCCAATAATTACTGCCAAAGTTATGACCCTTGATCACTTTGAAATATCTTGTGGACGCTCTAGAGGCTAAAGTTAATATCCCATTAACTTTAGATTTATACACAGTGTTTAATATCATGAGACAAAGAAGCCTATTGATTTTCATGTGATAAGTGACAACTTCAAATATAGTGTAGTAAAATTTCTACACTGTATCGAAATATTGATATTTTTTGCACAAGTATCAATTTTTGGTACTTAACCCTTAAAGATACATTATGGGAGATTCGGTAACGAGTTGGCAGTTCTCACTATAATAGTTAACAACTAGATAATGTAAAGGCAATTTGGCGAAAATGTCATTCAAATTGATCCACTGTGAACCGAGAACTAAGCGACTGAAATTCCGATAAGCCTCGGTCATCATTACTAAAGTCAGTACGATAAACAGCATCGTTTAATCGTTTAATCGAGAAGGAAAGTTATGCAGTAAATCGGCTTACAATCCACTAAAGATCACAGGCTAGCGCTGCCATCTAGAGTTGATTATGGCCTGGTTAGGTTAATTAATGTCTAATTAATAATTTAGATAACATTTCAGGCCTAAAGAAAGACCTGAAATAGGCAGATTTAGCTCTTGCATAATGTATGTTTAACCGGTCGACGTCATTTTGACGTCAAGTGGTCAGGCTAAATAAAGGCTGACGTCAAATATTTTGTATGCCTATTTCAATCGACTACTGTCGAATAATTATAAGTGATAGACTCTTGACACCAATAAAAAAGTTGAAGGGGATAAGTTGATCTATAATTTGCAAATCAAGTCCTTTTCATCAGAAATATCGTCTTCAGAATCGGTGTCATCGATATAATCCGAGTCGGAATCATTCATAAGTATTTCAACCACTTCGAGCGTCTTTAAGGTTCCCGACATCGTTAAATTACGTTTTTCGTCAAATAATGTTGAACAAAGACATGTTTTTCTCAATGCCGTTGATAAGACAAGTTCCTGTCTGACACGCATGCGTGGCCATATCAATTAAATACAAACTAAATACTCAAATGCGGCTTATCAAAAAGGTTCTTTGTGTGGTCGACTGTGACCACTTAGCTGTATAACATTGTGGTGACTATAGTCGACAATGACCGGTTAAGGCACTCCATACTCATTTGATGGTACTTGTTCTGTAAAATTTGATGGGAAATTCTTAATCTATATAAGATTCTCTTACAAACCCCATAATTTCAAGAAAAGGAACTGACTTGAAGGAATTAAATCAGATCATAAAAATCGAGTCGTTAAATAGTAGTTTCTAAACCTGCGAAAGGGTACCCCTGATTCAGATGGTCATATCTCCGTCAACATTAATGCTAGAGTTTTAAACCTTTGCAATTTTACATAAGCCTGTATGTACTATAACATAAATTTTCATAATTATCTGAGAATTTGGTTCAGAGAAAGAAATTTGTTATGCCAAGAATATAAATGTCTCGTATATTATATAGTAGATATTGAAAAAGCTTTAGTCCAGGGGTTTCAAACTTGTTTCGATTCAGGGGCCACCTGAACTAAAATTTTACATCAAGTGAGCCGGAGATATATACAAAAATATCAAAAAGAAAAATTTATTGATTTATTTGACTTATATCGTTACATATTATATACAACGTTCTCTTTATTACATACACCTTCGCAATTTGATTAAAATACCGATCTATATTTCATTTCGTTTTTATACGCCCACATAGAAATGTGGACGTATATTGCCATCGCCCCCGTACTTCTGTTCGTAGTCAACTGGCAGCGTTACGATTCCCTGGTTGCACGTGACAAGGAGTGGGGTTGGCTCTCCAAGCATATGGGATTTCTCCAGGTCATCCGGTTTCCTCCCACTGCCAAAGACCCCTAAGCGTAAGCGAATGACTGAAATAAAATTGAACCATGTGTTAGTCCTAAAATGACTTAGTTTGTGTTGAGTGGACGATACCACCCCCTCTTGCGTCCATCCATCGTCGACAATTTCTTGTGAACACTCCAACACCAAAAGTTATGATCCGATTGTTTTAAAATTGATACATGAAACGAAGATTGCCTATTTGAGCAATTCCATTCATCACGTCTAAGATTTACGGCCCATGTTTAACTCTAATGCCAAAAGTTATCATCCGATCTTTGTGAAATTTATATACATTGTTTAAATTATTGAAAAGAAGAAGCAATTTCCATTAATTCCTTCTAGAGTTATCGCCCTTGTTCCACTTTGTTGCCCCTTGTGAATGCAGTAACGCCAAAAGTTATCATCAGATCTTTGTGAAATTTATATGCATTATTTAAATTAGTGAAACGAAGAAGCCTTTTGAATATCAGCAATTTCCATTAATTACTTCTAGAGTTATGGCCCTTGTTTCACTTTGTTACACCTTGTGGGGGGGTTGGATGGCTGAATGCTTAGCGTGCGCGCTATATCATAAAGTCTGTCATTGAGTCGACTTGCGTGGTTTCGAATCCCCGGTTGTACGTGACAAGGAGTAGGGTCGCCTGTCCAACCTTGTGGGTTTTCTCCGGGTCCTCCGGTTTCCTCCCACTGAATATCGATTTGAAAGTTTTTTGTAAAATCCAATATGGCGGCCAAGTGGTTGAAAATGTTATCAAACAAAGTCTTTGAAAATGAAAGATAATATCTGGGGCTAACACCACCATATGTCATTTTTTTAAAAAAAATTTTTGTCTATCTTTAAAATGGAGAGAACTATACATGTTTGGGAAAAATGGAAGGCCTCGGTAATTTCAGGAAGCCTTCACAAAATGTGTAATAAGCCATAAATGAAGGCATCAACTTGATACCTCAAATAGTGATGAGATATGCCATCTTGAATGTCGAAAAAATGATGA